AGAGAGGCCAGGCCAGAGGAAGGAGCCCACTCTCTTCTGCCCTGCTTAGGTTAGGGTCCCAGCTATAACCAATGAGAACTGGGCCTAGGGCAGCAACTCCACCTGACCCTACCATCTTGAACTGGGGCCTCCTGAGTCTGAGTCCAGGGCTGTCTTCCCTTTGCCTAGTCTTAGAATATAACCCTGGGGCCCCCAAAGACATGGATGGAGATTGATGACAGCTGAGGACCCAGGGCCACCCCTTCTCCCTGCTCTCTTGACCCTGCCCCCCACCCCCACACACCGGACACTGCAGTGACTCAGACTAGTGGCCCTGCAGCTTGAAATGGGAGCAATTTTCGAGTGACCACGAGGCCGGTAACCATCCGGGAATGTGCGGGTCAGTGTGTTTGGGGAGGCGATGTCTGTGGGCCCAGCCTGCGGGGGCAGGAGAGGAGGAAATGTGAGAGGCCTCTCCTCAGGGCTCGCTCTCTCTCGGAAGGAATGTTCGCTCAGGATTCCCCCCACCCCACATCCCACAGCTCAGCCTGGACCCACGCTGGCATTCTCCCTCCTTTTCCCGGCGCAGACTGAATCAGCCTAGGCCGGGGGAGGGTCAGAAGCCAGGGATGGGGGTGCAGGCGCCTACGGGATGGGGGCCTGCGGGAAGGGGCGCACTGGGCTGCTTCCGGTGGGGGAACCTTCTCCCCAACACCCCATCAGCCAATGGGGTGCTCAGAACCCTGCTGTGGCACTGACCCTAGCGGTGGGCTTGGGGGTGGGGGACGGGGAAGAATGAGGGCAATGCCATCACCGCCTGGGCGATGTTCCCCCTCTCCCACAGGGACAGAGGCCCCCTTGCCCCAGGCATGCGCCCTGAGCCGGTTCTTAAGAGGAACGGCGGGAGGAAGAGCGGCGAAGGGGCTGGAGAGCCCGGGCCAGCGCGCCCTCCAGCGGGGATCTGAGTTGGAGACCCTCCCTCTCCATTTGACCCGCCTGGCAGGGCAGGGGCGGGGCCGTGCTATTGATTAGGGTCTTGGGACGCAGTGGGAGCCTGCGGTTTCTGCCTCTGCTCCCACACGGAAGGGCAACAGGCGGGACCCAGGAGACCCGGTCCCTACGGTCCCTACACTCCGTGCAGCGGGCTGCGAAGGCTGGGACCTTCTTCCTCGCACCTCCCGCGCCCTCTGCGGCCCGTAGCTCCCAGCCTCCTCCCATTGGCCAAGAGCTTGCCGCCCTGACCAATGAACAGGAGGGATTCCCACGGGGGGCGGTCCCGAGCACGCCCAGGTTAACCGTTCGTGGGCTGTACCGGGCTGGCAAAACCCGGATGACCCTCTCACCTATAAAGGCCGACCCCGGCGGAGGAGGAGGTGTATACCCTGTAGTGGGCGCATGCAGGTCTGCGAGCAGGGGAGTTGGGGAACCTCACCTCCAATAGAGTGGAGCCAGCGCTGGCTGCGCATGGCAGCCAAGAAGCTTATATTGGCACCTCTGTAGGAAAAAGTCTTTAACAAGGAGGGAAACAAATCATAATGTTTCCTTCTCTGGCTTCCCTCCCCGTCGTCTGGAAAGACACCCCCTAGAAGGCTGCCCCTCAGAAGAGCCCTGTCCCCCTTACAACGTCGACGCACGACCCTCTGCCCTTCTTGGACTCCTGGCTGCCAGCTCCCCACTTTCCATCCGATAATCTAAAACTGAACCTTCAGCGTGAGCTGGATTGAGGATGAGGAAGGAAGCAAGCGGCCGGGCTGGAGCTGGGGAGGTCCGAAGAGTCTAGAGTGGGCCTTCCAGGGCTGGGGGAGGTGGGCACAGAGGGAGAAGTGGGGACCACCCTGGAGCTGCAGGGAACCCTGCCCTCAACCTCCCCAGCTCGCTGTGTGACCCTGGGTGGGTGGCGTCCCTCTCTGGACCTCATTTTAGCAAATGAGGGGCTGTAGGACCGTGAACTTTCTCAGGTCCCGAATGGAAGTGGGCTACAAAGGCCCTGAGGGGTGACCTGATGATGGTGGCGCTCCCTCCAGGTACAGGACGATGGGGGGGACGCGCCCACCACCCATCGCTCCCCAGAAAGAGCAGAGCAGGGAGGCCCAAGCATCTCAGTGGCCTCCACCCCCACCCCACTGCGCCGTGGCCGCCCCCCTTCGCCTTGTCCCGGCTTGGCTGCTCGAGGCTTCATCCTGCTGGGCTTTGCTTGCCGTTTCCAGCAGGTGGTGTAGGGGCTGCTCCCCAAAGCGGGGCACAGAGCTCCCTCGCAGGTTCCCGTGGGCCTGGAGCCAAGGTCTCCAGGGACCCCGGGGGGGGCGAGGAACGGGAGGCGGCGCCTCTCCTCTCCCAGGCCCCGGGAAGGGGCTTGGGGCGCTCTTATCATCGCAGGAGACACAGCTGCTGGGGGCTGCAGCACTGACTCACCCTCCCTCCCCGAAACCCGAGGCCCCAAGGCAGGCCTCCGAGAGACCCCAGGGCTGGGGCTGGAGGAAGCGCCCCCTGCTGGGCTGGCCCGGCTCTGCGGCTCCGAGCGGGGTCCAGCCGACACAGCTGGCCCGACTGGCTGGGGGAGAGGCACAAAGGGTTTCTGGCTGAGATTACAGGTATTGGCAGAGACTTGTTCCCCTGAGGCCCCTGGCGGCCTGGTACTGTCCACCCTGGGCGTTGATGGACAGCTGATATTAGTGGCGTTACCCTCAGGATACAAGATCCAGTCCCTTCCCTGTGTTGATTTTGTTGTTTCTTTTTGGTTTTTGGTTTAGTTTAGTTTTTTGAGACAGGGTCTTACTATGCAGTCCAGGCTGGCCTTGAACTCACTGTGTAGCCCAGGCAGGCCTGAAACTGGCAGCCACCCTTCTGCCTCTGCCTCAGAGTGCTGGGATTCCAGGCGTGCACCACCACGCTGGGCTGGTCCTGTCTGAATTTAATGAGCTGGTGAAAAAACCACAGACCCAGCCTCAGGGACTCAGTCTGGCAAACTGATCCCAGAGGGGAAGGTGTGAGGCACTCAGGGAAGCACTGGCTGTGACTGTGGACACTTCCCTGCTCTCCTGGGTTCCTCAGGCCTCAGTTTCCCTGTCGAGTACAGAGTGTGCTTTCTTGTCGCACTGCCAGGTAACTGTGAAGATGGAATCAAGAGGTGCTCAGGACAATGCAGAAATGGAGGAGGACAACTCTGCCCCCACTCCCGGGAAGAGGGGAGTGGAGAGGGACCTAACACTGGGTTTCTGAACTCACCTCTGTCTGAATCTTCTCATCAGGCACTGGCTGTAAACTGTGGATTTTATGATGATCATAATTAACAATAGCTAAGCTGGGCATGGTGGTGCATGCCTGTAATCCCAGCGCTCGGGAGGCTGAGGCAGGAGGATGGCTGGGAGTTCAAGGCCAGCCTGAACTACATAGCAAGACACTATCTCAAAACAAAACAAAAAACAAGCAAACAGAACCAGACTCTGGACCTTGAGCCAGTCCTGTAAAGCCAGCCCTAACTGTGCACCAGGTGGGAATCCCGTCCCTGAAGCAACCTTACCCCTCTCTTCCAGCCTATGAGCAAATGCAATCTTCAGTAAAAAATGAACAGACCATATTGACGTTTTTAATTTTTTTTCCCACTACTGGGGACTTTTTTTCCACTACAGGTCCTCTCTCATATAAGCAAGTGCTCACCACTGAGCTACTTCCCCAGCCCTCCTCTCTTTTTTCTTTTCCATTTTACTTTAAGACACAATCTTGCTAAGTGGCCCAGGCTGGCCTCAAACTTTCAATCCTCCTGCCTCAGCCTCCTGAGTACCTTGGATTACTGGATCCCCACACCCAGCCAAGCTATAATTCTTTAAAGAGAAAAAAAAAATAGCTTATAAGCACCTACTGTGTTTCAGCTCCCAGAATGCTTCATTAGCATTTGTTTATTGACATTTGTTGAGCAATTACTATGCCAGAGACTCTGCTGGTGCTTTACCTGTATTAATTAGTCAAATCCTTGCAACAGTCTTAGCAAGTAGGAACTATTACTGGCCCCACAGTACAGAGAGTGAAATGAAACAGAGTTTAATTAACTTTCTCAAGATCACAGAAACCAAGATTTTATCAGATTTTTTGAGACAGGGTTTTTTGAGTCAGGCTGGCCTTGAACTCACTATGGACCTCAGGCCTCAAACCTGCAGCAGTCCTCCTGCCTCAGCCTCCCGAGCAATTGTCTATTTCAACATAACTAGTACACAGGATTTTCAATCTTTCTAATACAAAGAAATGATAACTGTGACGGCTATGCCGATTTCCCCAACCTAGTCATTACACTCATGTCCATGTATCGACGTATCACACTGTACCCCATAAATATGGATAATTAGTGTGTGTCAAGTAAAAATTTTAAAAATATATTTTAAAAAATTCTGGCAGGGCTGGGGATTTAGCTTAGGGGTTCCAGTGCCTGCCTTGCAAGCACAAGGTCCCGAGTTCGATCCCCGGTACCAAAAAACAAACAAACTAACCAAAAAAATTCTGGCTGTGGGCTGAGGATTTAGCTCAGTTGGTTTCATCACCTGCTGCGCAAGGACAAGGACCCGAGTTCGATCCCCGGTACCAAAAAACAAACAAACTAACCAAAAAAATTCTGGCTGTGGGCTGAGGATTTAGCTCAGTTGGTTTCATCACCTGCTGCGCAAGGACAAGGACCCGAGTTCGATCCCCGGTACCAAAAAAATTTCTGGCGGTGACCCACTACATTGATTTCATAACCCATTCATGAATCACCACCCAGTTTGCCTGAGTCATAGCTAGAAGTGTCCAGGCCAGGATCAGAACTCATAGCATAACAACTTGGAAGCCGAGCATGGTGGTGCACACCCGTAATCCCTGTGCTCAGGAGGTTGAGGCAGGAGGATTGCCAGAAGTTTGAGACCAGCCTGGGCTACGGAGTGAGTTCAAAGCCAGATAAGAGTTGGTGCTGGTGGGAGGTAGGCGAAGATGACATGGGGGAGCAGGCCGGGGAGGTGGCCACGCTGAGCCTGTCTCCGCCTCTCCCCCTGCAGCACTTCCCGGAGCACCTGGACCACTTCGTGGAGAACATGGATGACTTCTCCAATGACCTGTTCAGCAGCTTCTTCGATGACCCAGCGCTGGATGAGAAGAGTCCCCTGCTGGACATGGAGCTGGACCCCCCAGCGCCAGCCATCCAGGCAGAGCACAGCTACTCACTGAGTGGGGACTCAGCGCCCCAGAGCCCGCTGGTGCCCATCAAGATGGAGGACACCACAGAAGGTGAGAGGTGGCAGCACCCCAGGATGGCCCAGGCCAGAAAGAACCTGAGACCCAAGGAGGAACCACCCAGCAACCCTCTCGGGGTGTGGCTCCCTGTAATCCCAGCACTCGGGAGGCCGAGGCAGGAGGACCTCAAATTCGAGTCCCACCTAAGCAATCTAGCAAAACCCTGGCTCAAAAATTCTAAAAATAAATAATAAGCTGGGCATGATAGTGCACACCTGTAAATCCCAGCACTTGGGAGGCTAAGGCAGGAGAATTGCCATGAGTTCAAGACCAGCCAGTGAGTCCAAGGCCAGCCTGAACTACATCGTTGAGAACCTGTCTTAATAAATAAATAAATAGGGCTAGAGATGTATTAGTGCAAAGGGTCTGGGTTCAGTATCATACACATGCACACACACACACACAAAGGAGAAGAATGGAGGTGTAAGAGGCAGCTCCCATCTCTAAGCCTCATCCACCCCCATACTCTAGCAGAGGCAGCAAGGGCTCCTGGGTTAGGAACCTAACAATCCTGGGTGTGCTTCATCCGGGTACCTGCACTGGCTGCTGGGTGATATGAGTAAGTTTCTTAAGCTCTCTGGACCTCTGTTTCTTCAGTTATAAAATTTGAAAATATACCTTGAAAGCTCCAGACAGGATTAAATATGCCCATTCACAAAGTCCCCAGCTCGGCACTCCGCACGTGATGCGTACATATCAATAATTAACCTATTTTCCTTGTGTACGGAAGTCCTGTTAATACCACGGGCGGCTCCAATGTGGACAGCTTCGTACTCCCCTGCCTGCGGGGGCTGCGGCCCTGGGTTTGCTAATAGGCCGATCTCTCAGAGGGAGGCAGCCTCACCTCGGGCCCTGGAGAGTCAGGGAGGAGGAAGGAAGCTGATAGGCTTGGAGACCAGACCAGCCTCTGCACCCCATCAGGACAGCAGGTGGACTCCATGTGGCCTTGCACCCCAGCCTGGGGAAGGGCAGGATGTGAGGCCCCCTTCCATGGCAGGGTCTCCGCTCACCTCTGCTGGGCCAGCCCAGCCACTCCTCTGCCACCCCATGTCTATGTGTCTTTCTTTTGGGTACTGGGGATTGAACTTGGGTCTTTGCGCTTACGCAGCAGGCATCAAAACCACTGAACTAAATCCCCAGCCCAATGTCTATGTTTCTTGAGGCAGGGACTGGCTCACCATGGACCCCAGACTGGCCTCAAACTTGCGGTGCTCCTCCTGCCTCAGCCTCTTGTGTGCTGGGATTATAGGCGTCCGCCACCATGCCCAGCTCCCAAGTCTATTTTTAAAGCAATTTGTCTCTGGGCCTTCATGGAGGTGGCCTGCAAGTGGCCCACCCTGTAATTTAGGAAGATGGTGGGTGTTCCCGTGGCCAGGCGCTGGGGCACTGGGGCTCCTAGCAGGGCGGCCCTGGCCTGGGAACCAGAGGCCCCTCTCCCACCCACAGCAGCCCCACATTCCCCTTTGGCCCTTCCTCTGCCCGAAAAGGGCTGCCTGGGGTGAGGGCCGTACCCTTCTGGAAGGGGCAATGCCCGCAGAGGAGTCCTAGGGGCCAGGAGGTGGGCTCCACCGTGGAGAGTCCCAGCATCTCTGACCCCGACCCCTGTCCCCAATGCTGTGGAATCTCCCTCCTGACTCTTCCCCTCCATTCCCACTGCCTTTTCCTGCCTCAGCCTCTCGCACCTGGGTGATTTATTTCAGCACCTCCCATGGGGCTCCCTGCCCCCATCCTACCAGAGCCACCCATTCCCTCATCTCCTGCAAACCAATCTTTCAAAAAATTACTAATTCAGCCAGGCGTGGTGGCTCACATCTGTAATCCCAGCACTCGGAAGGCTGAAGCAGGAGAATCACCATGAGTTCAAGGATAGCCTGGACTACAGTGTAAAGGTCCTGAGTTCAAGCCCCAGTACTAACTGGAAAAACAAACAGACAAACAAAAAAACCCCACCTGCAGCCTCTTAACACCTTTGGATAAATCACAGCTCTGGCCCATCTTCCAAGGCTGGGTTGAGTGGTTTGTGGTTTCTGTTCATTCATTATTTAGTCCTCCCCACCTCCCAATTAGATATGTCTGTTTCTTTCCTCATTTGAAAGATTAGGAAGCCCAGGCTCAGAGAGGGTAAGCAACTTGCCTAAGGTCACCCAGCCAGTGAGGAGGGATCCAGCCCCTGTGTCCTGATGCAGAAGATGCCCTGGCCTCTTCTACCCCTCGCTGTCACCTCCCAAGGGTGCCCACCTGTCCCTCCCTCCCCTGCACCCCAGCCTCTCTATGGGCGCAGCCCAGGCAGCACCTGCGGGCAGGAGGCGCTGGGAGTCCCCTAAGCTGAGTCCTGCCACTTCCCCCAGACGTGGAGCACGGAGCGTGGGCGCTGGGACACAAACTCTGCTCCATCATGGTGAAGCAGGAGCAGAGCCCGGAGCTGCCCGTGGACCCACTGGCTGCCTCCTCAGCCATGGCCACCGCCACCGCCGCCATGGCCGCCGCTCCCCTGCTGAGCCTCAGCCCCCTGTCCAGGCTGCCCATCCCCCACCAGGTGAGCCTGGGGACCCTGCCGGGGTAAGGGAGGGAGCAGCCCTCAGGTCTGTGGGACAGGGTGGACAGGAGGATGCCACGGTCCCCAGAACTGAGGGTCAGAAGCCCCAGAGCAGGCCTCTGCCTCCCCCTTGGCTATGCTGCAATAGCATGTCCCATAGCACCTTCACAGTGGGCCAAGGTCCTCCCTGCATGCAAAATGAAGGGCCAGGGTTGGCCCTGACCAAGGTCTCCGATGGAGACACCCAGGTTACTTCCCAGACTCCTGCGTGGTGGCACATACCTTTAATCCCAGCACTTGGGAGGCTGAGGCAGGGCAATGGCAGTGAGTTCAAGACTAGCCTCAACTTCCTGTATTCAGGATTCTGTGTCCCACCCATAGCATGACAACGTCTGTGCTGGCTGCAGATCCAGCAGAGAGAGATGGCCCCCCAAACTACACCTTCCTCTAAGAGACCACCACATACATGCATGTCAGTGTCACGTGTGTGAAACCACGTGGGTTCCTGAACAAGTTGAATATAAATAAATAGAAATGCATGGGGTTTTTGTTTGGGTTTTTTTTGGTACCAGGGATTGATCTCGGAACCTTGCACTTGCACAGCAGGTGCCAGAACCACTGAGCTAAATCCCCGGCCCGAGAAATGCTTGTATTTATTAAACATGTAAATCTGATTCCATCCACCCCTTGCCTAAAACCCATCAGAGGCTCTCACTGCTTCCAAGTCCTTTTTCTGGATTCTACTCTTACTTCTTCTGTGGGACTGAGCCGCAGCTGCAGAATTCCTCCTTCTGTGCTGTTCTATGCTGTGTCCCCAGGCAGTGGACAGCTTCAGGGTACCAATGTATTTGTCACTTTTCCATCACTGGGAGAAAATATCCAACACCCGCAACTGAAGAGAGTAGAGGTTTCAGAGGGTTCAGTCCATGGTTGCCCAACTCAAGGCAGAAACAGTGTGGTGGAAGCGTGTGACAGAGGAAAGCTGCTCACCTCATGGCAGCCAGGGAAACAGAAGCAGAAAGGAGGAGCCGGGCACAGGCAGTCACTCTTCCGGCCATGCCCCCATGACCTACCTCTTCCGACCAGGCCCCACCTCCAAACAGCAGGTCAGCAATGGACTCATCAGTGGGTGGATCTACTGACGAGTGCGGCGCAAGCCCACCTCTGAACACATGAGATTCTGGGGGAAGCTTTCGAGCTAAACCATAGCAGCCAGACATTACCCCTGGTCCTCACGGCAACCCACATACCAAGGTCTAAGTGACCTTCACAGCATGGGGTCAGCCTCCACCATGGAGGTGGCCTGGCCTAGGAGGCCACAGGAAGCCCTCCTGCTCTGAGCTCAAAGCCTGAGCTACACTGTTTGGTCATGTTCTGTCCTCTCAGGTGTGGCATGAGAGCTTGCCTCTGTCCCCTCTGGGCTGTGTCCAGAACCCCAAGCCCGGCCACTCCCTTGACTGTAGGGCAGATACTCAGCCTCAGGGAGGAAAGTGGGGAGGGTGGGAGGGCAGAGACCATGCTGGGGACAGCTGACAAACTTGGACCTGTCCTTCCTCAGGCTCCAGGGGAGATGACTCCGCGGCCAGTGATCAAAGCAGAGCCCCAGGAGGTGAGCCAGTTCCTCAAAGTGACACCAGGTGAGTGTGTCTGGGGAAAGGCTCTTCTCCCCTCGAGCATTGGGCAGACAGCATCTTCCGCCCTTGGTTTACCCCGGGACTCCATTCCTGAAACTCCCCAATTCTCCCCTGAGTATCCTGTCCTGACCCTCCCTATTCATCATCCATTCTCACTCTTCCAGTTCCCCCTTACTCAGTCTATGACTTCCATCATTATATCAACACCCTTTCACCCTCCTTGCTAATCCTCCTTCAGTCAGGTCACTAACTGAAGCCCATGCTATAGCCACCCATTGTCCATTCATCCAACCACCTATCTAAATATCCCACTACCCATCTATCCAACCATCCATCCATCTACTCATCCATCTACCCATCCATCCAACTATCCATCCAGCCATCCCACTGTCCATCCCTCTACCTACCCATCCATCCATCCATCCATCCATCCAGCTGTCAATCCAGCCATCCCAATTCCCCTCCATCTACCCAACAATCCACCCATCTATTCATCCATTTCCCCATCCACCCTACCATTTGTCCAGCCATGCATCCGCCTGTTCATTAAACCATCCAACCATCCCACCATCCATTCATCTACCCATCCACCCACTTATCCATCCAACCTTCCATCCAGCCATCCCATTTCCCCTCCAACCACCCAGCCATCCCATCTTTTCAGCCATCTGTCAAACCATCCATCCATCCATCCATCCACCCAACAACCTATCCCACCATCCCACTGCCCATCCATCCATCCATCCATCCATCCATCCTAGTCCACTAGGCAGCATCTCCCAGTCCCAGGCACTAGGGAAGCAGAGAAAAGACAGTCCTTATATCCAAGTAGATCACAGGGTCACAGACAAACTACCAGAGACCCAGCAGTGACATGGGTGTGCTGATGGTGAGTTCTCAGTCCAGGGAGCTCATCCCCAGGCCAGCCAAGGAAGAAGGGGACACAGAGAGCTTCTTGGTATTGGCCAGACAACAAAAGGTAGCAGAATCTTTCCAGTCCTGCCTCATTAATTTATCAAACACTGATTAAGAATCTACTGTGCATCAGGCCCTGAACGAGGTCCACAAGGTCTAGAAAGGTGAGTAAGGCCAGTTTCACCCTCAGGGCCTTGGAGAGAAGACAGATGTGAGAAGGGGCTGTGTTAGACCCTTACTTGTAGGGCGCCCTTTGTTCCTACAGCATCTCACAGACAGCAGCTCATCACGTTCTCATGGCTCTGAGGAGAACCCTTCTGTCCCCATTCAACAGTTAAGGAGGGGAGGCCGGGAGAGGTCACGTAAACATAGCCGGGCTCACACAGCTGGGAGGTGCCATGGCCAGGGCTCGGCCTCGGGCCTCCCTGATTCTGAGTCCAGTGCTCTTTGCAGTGGGGCACCTAGAAGAGGCAAATAAGTGTCAAAGGGAGGGAGAGGGGCCAAGAGCCTGCCTTGTGCCAAGCCCAGAAGGATGAGGCCAGCCCTGCCCCGTGTGGAGCTGGGGCACCTGGTGCTCTGTGCTGCCCCACGAGCTCTCAGACTGTCACCCTTCCTGGCACCAAGGCTACAGAGGGGACAGCAGGGGGGACAGTGTGGAGGAGGAGGCCAGGCCCCTCTGCTCTTCTGAAATTGCAGTCCCTGCTTCCTGCCCTGAAATTGGAAATGAAACCCTGGGTGGTTACGGCTAAACATTTTGGGGTGCAAGACAAAAGGGGGAGAAGACTGCTCGCTCAATTGGACACCCCCCCTCCGGCAACAGGGCTGGTTTGAGACCCTAGTCACCTGGGTTTGCAGAGGTGATGCTTAACGAGCCCAAATCTTCAAGCCAGGTGTGGTGACACACACCTGTAATCCCAGCATCCATCCCTGCACTCAGGAAGCTGAGCCGCAAGGATCGTGGGTTTGAGGCCAGTCTGGGCTACGTAGTGGTAACCTGTCTCCAAAAACAAAAGGCAGAAGCAGAACAAACACCAGAATCTTTGAAGGCAGGGATGGGGGCAGACCCGGCCTCTGTGGTCCCCAACCAAGGTGCAGGCTGCAGGGAGCTGGGCCCCAGTGCTGTCGTGTGTCGCAGAGGGGCTTCCAATGTCACCACTGCAGCCATGCTAAGCTGAATGCCTGATGCCTCAGCTCTGCCCTAACGTGCTGCCCTGCTCACCCAGTCCCTCTCTTCCCAGAGGACCTGGTACAGATGCCGCCGACGCCTCCCAGCAGCCAAGGCAGCGACAGTGACGGCTCCCAGAGTCCCCGCTCGCTGCCCCCCTCCAGCCCTGTCCGGCCCATGGCCCGCTCTTCCAATGCCATCTCCACCTCCCCACTCCTCACTGCCCCACACGTAAGGAGCTGGTGGTGGGCTGGCCCCAGAAGAGGGAAACTGAGTCAATCCCCCTAGTCCATGACAGGTGGGGATGGTCAGGGCGCCCCAAGTCTGATCCCCACCTCATGAGAATTCAGAGACTGAACTTTGGCCAAATCTGGCAGTGTCTTCTAACCCTGCCTCATGGTGACCAGGAAACTGAGGCAGAGAGAGGCAACCCAGGAAGCCCCCAAAGCCCACACTTCTCCAGAGCGTAGCCCCAGGGAGAGGATCCTGCTGGCTCCCAGCACCCTGACCTGGACTTGCCACAGTCACTGGATGGAACTCAGATCCACCCATTTTTTCTGAAGGGGAAACTGAGGCCCAGGGGGTTGTGCATACAGACAGCACATAACAACCCTTGACTTTGAACCTAGGGCTGCCCGGTGCCTAACTCCCATGTCCTGCTCCTTGCAGAAATTACAGGGGACATCAGGCCCACTGCTCCTGACCGAGGAGGAGAAGCGCACCCTGATTGCCGAGGGCTACCCCATCCCCACCAAGCTGCCCCTCAGCAAGGCGGAGGAGAAGGCCCTCAAGAGGGTGCGAAGGAAAATCAAGAACAAGGTAAAGGCCCTGCAGTGCCTGGACCCACCCTGGAGGGTGGTGGGTGCGGCCTGGGCTGTCTTAGTGATGCCCGCCCCAGAATCAGACCCTCAGGAATAGAGATGTGGTGGTAACTATTTCGGGGGCCCCCTCTAGATCTCAGCCCAGGAGAGTCGTCGTAAGAAGAAGGAATACGTGGAATGCCTGGAAAAGAAGTAAGGTCCTGGGGCATGGCCTGCCATCCTGTCCCTCCTCTCTCACCGACCACCAGAGTCAGGCGGTGCCAGAAACCAGGGAGCGGGCAGGGCCATGGGCTGGGGTGAGCCTGGGGGTGCCCTAAGCCCACACCTGCTTGGCCTCTCCAGGGTGGAGACATTTACATCAGAGAACAACGAGCTATGGAAGAAGGTGGAGACCCTGGAGAACGCCAACAGGTGGGGCCCTGCAGCCTCCGATAGCAGGAGAAAGGAGAGTTCCTGGACCCGCCAACTAGAACCTGAGCGAGGGCTGCTCAAGTCCCACCCCACCCCATCTCCCAGGCCTCCTCAGCAACACGTAGATGTCTACACAGCTGCCGGGCCGGGCCGGTGAGGCGTGAAAGGCAGGCGGGACAGCCCGAGAGTCCTCCAGGTGTCACCCCAAACAGCATTCCCCGTGACTTGACTTGTCGGAGATGCAGATTCCCACCGGGTGTGCAGCGCATGCTGTCATCCCAGCAGAAGCTGAGGCAGGACAATCAGGAGTTCAAGGCCAGCCTGGGCTACACAGCAGGACCCTGTCTGAAAACAGAAAGAGGAAAGAAAAAGAGACAGGAAAGAAAGAGAGAAAGAAATGTTGATTCGCAGGCTGGGGGTTTAGCTCGGTGGTTCTGGCGCCTGCTGCCTCACAAGCGCAAGGTCCCAAGTTTGATGCTCAGAACCAAAAGAAATGTTCATTCGCAAACTCTAAGCTAGGTGCACTGAATCAGAAACTCCACCAGTAGAGCCCAGAAATCTAGGTTTTGTTTTATTTGTTGCCATACTGGCAACAAATTCCTTCAGTGCCTTCACACTGAGCCACATCCTCAGCCCTTTTGTTTCATTTCCTTTTGTTTTTTGAGGGTCTTGGTATGTAGTTCAGGCTAGTCTTGAACTCACTGTGTGGCCCAGGCTGGCCTCGAATTCGCAGCGATCCTCCTGCTTCAGCCTCCAGCCTCCTGAGTCTAGGATTACAGGTGTGCGTCACCATCCCCAGTTAATTTTTGAGACAGGCTGTTGTGCAGGGCAGGCCTCAAACTTGCAATCCTCCTGCCTCAGCCTCTCAAGTTGCTGGGATTACAGGGTGTGCCCTGTAAACGGATCCCAGGTGGACCTGTTTTTGTTGTTCTTTTTTTGTCTGCAGGGAAATGACAGGCGCACTATCTCATAAAATCGATGTGGGCCAGGGATTTAGCTCAGTGGTTCTGCCCTGCCTCGAAAGCACAAGGTCCCGAGTTCGATCCCCGGTACCAAAAAAAAAAAAAAAAAAAAACCAGGAATCATAAAATCGATGTGAGCATCCTATGAGAGAATAATTCAAGGGTCCAGCGTGGGGCTTGGCATTTAAGAATGCTCAACTCATAAAATGCTAGTTTTTCTTATTATTCTGAATTCTTGATGAGGCCAGCTGTGACCCTACACAGGTCTTTAATAAGTATTTGCTGACAGCCTGGTATACAGTAAGACCCAAACGCCAGACTTTCCTCTTTCCCTTCTGCCTTCGACCCTGGCTTCTCCCTGATTGGTCAGGAGAATTCCAGCTCCGCCCCCGCCAGTGTGGGGGCAGAGCCTTCACAGCTCGCCTCCCCCCTGACCTGAAATAGGGCCGGGTCCTAGGAGCTGTTTCGCCACCTGCTGTTCACTCTGGGAACTGCACCCGCCTGGCTGCGTGGAGGAGAAGTCCACGCTGGGTGGGACACGCTTAGAGAGGCCACAATTAGCAAGGGAGATTGACATGGAAATCCGTAAGTAAACAAGGCGCTATGGATGTTGTGATCACAGCAGAAACACCAATAAAATCAACACAAACAGTAGCTGCCGTGCTCAATTCGCCAGCTTGTATACTAAAACTGATGTCGTTTATAGGACATATCAATGTAGCAGGTGCTGTGCCAAACACTCCCTTCTTATCAGTTTAAGGTGCTGTGGGGTGCAAAGGAGGGAAGGTCAATGTGTCTGTGGCTAGGGTAAGAAAAAGAAGGCCAGCCAGGTCTGGTGGCTCACACCTGTAGTTCCAGCACTTGGGGAGGCTGAGGCAGGAGGATTGCCAAGTTCAAGCCTAGCCTGGGCAACTTAAGTGACTTAGCGAGACCCTATCTCAAAATTTTAAAATGAAAATAAAAAGGGGCTGACGATGTAGCTCGGTATTAAGGTCCTGGGTTCAATCCTCAGTACCACCAAAAAGGTCCCCAAAAGAATAAAAGACAAAGAAGTCTGGCCTTGCCCACTTGCATCTGGGTGCCCCTGAGGTTCCCTAGGGTGGCCCAGGCGTCCTCAGAGCCGGGCCCCAGGTGGCCAGGCCACAGGCACAGGAGGTGACATTTTCTCTGGCGACTGAACCAGGCTCCTGGTGTGCAGGCTAAGCCGGAAGCAGCCTAGCCCCCGGGGAGAGGCCTGGGAGGCGGAGGGGCCCCCTGGTCCGGCCTGCCGGTGACCCCTGTGCTCTCCTCAGGAACCTGCTCCAGCAGCTGCAGAAGCTCCAGACGCTGGTCAGCAGCAAGATCTCCAGGCCTTACAAAATGGCAGCCACCCAGACCGGGACCTGCCTCATGGTAGGCGCTGCCCCTGCCAGCACAGGGCACCCTCTTCCCTCGGCCCGCCGCCTAGGGCAGGGGGCAGGGCTCGAAGGGCGTGGTGAGGTCACGGGTGTGTCACCCAGGGAAACCAGGCCTGCCAGAGCCTTGTGCAATGCGACTGTCCCAGTGTGGCTGCGTGTGTGACACCAGTGAGCCTAGCCAGGGGCAAGTCCCTTGGGGAAGCCACCTGCGCAGCCCCTGTGGAGTGAAGGACTTGGGGAGGTGCGGGAAGTATGGATAGCAGAGGGGAGAAGACTGAGCAAAACCCCAGAACTCAAAGGAATCTGGGTGTGGTGGTGCAGACCTGTGAGCCCAGCTCTCTGGGAGGCTGAGACAGGAGGATATCCACTTTGAGCTCAGCCTAGGCAACTTAGCTACTTAAGAGACCTTGTCACAAAATGAAAAGGGCTGGGGATACAGCTCAATACAAAGGCCCTGGATCCCCAGAACTGCGGGGGGGGGGGAGCCCAGGGCGTGGCCCGGCTCAGGCCTGGCTTACACACAGGGTTTGCTTGGGGCTCCTTGTGCTCAGTGCCTGGGCTCTTGCTAAGCTTGGGACCAGGCCATCGACCCTTTTCTTCCGATTGCGACTCCTCAGCCCCACAGGTCAGGGCCACACAGGCCGCAGCCACGCTGCCAACCGCCTCTTTTTCTTGCAACGCCCCACTGCGGCTGGGGTGGCCCGGGCAGTCCCCACCTGCTCCAGAGAATCTGGGGGAGCCCGGGTCCCGGGGTATCGGCTCCGGGAGCCGCTTTTCCGGCAAGCTGAGGCTCCTGGGGGCGGAGCGTTGGGCAGCCCTTCCGTGCCCTCAGCTGCTCGCTCTCCCGACAGGTGGCGGCCTTGTGCTTCGTGCTGGTGCTGGGCTCCCTCATGCCCTGCCTGCCCGAGTTCTCCTCCGGCCCCCAGACTGTGAAGGAAGACCCGGCCGCCGCAGACAGCATCTACACCCACAGTCAGCGTGAGTCCTCCCCAGCCCGCCCCCACCTGCGGGGCGGAAGCCGGATCCCAGACCAAGGCTGCATTTGGGGTTGGCGTCATCTCCTCGACCCTCCTCATTCTGCAGATGGGGAAACTGAGGCCCAAGTGGGGGCGTTTCTAATAAGGGGGGGGGTGGCTGCCTGAATCACCGCATTAAAAGGATACTAAGGCTTGGTGATGTCTACCCTGGGTGGAGGACAGGGTGGCTGGGTTCTGATATTTGCTATCCCTACCCAGGTGTGGTGGTGGACATCTATAATCCTAGCACTCAGGAGGCTGAGGCAGGAGGATTCCAAGTTTAGGCCCAGCCCAGGCAATGTAGTGAGCTTCAGTGGCAGAGGCAGAGGAACTCATTCCCCGGGAGCAGGATCTGGGTGGTGTAGGAGAGGAGGAAACAGATGGAGGTCAGAAAGAGGGGAGAAGGGAGAAGGGAAGGGGCTGGAGGACAGCAAGACCCGGCCTCGAGAGGAGGAAGCTCAGGAATGCTGGGAAGAGGAAGTGGGGTCAGAGTGACACCCAGAGCAAGAAGGCCTTGAAGGGTTGCCAGCTGGACTTGAGGCCTCAGAGTCACCCTTGTGCGGCCCCAAGGCCCGAGAAGCCAAGAGAGAAGAGGGCCCATGGTGGGGACAGGAGCAGGGACGAGCCCCCAGGGAGAGGTGGCAAGGGGCTGAGTCCGAGAGGGCAGCGCCCTCTGCCATGGAGGACGAGCCTGAGGGTGGAGGTCACATTTGGAGCTGCTGGCCTGCAGAGCTGAGCCCAGGCCTTGCACAATTCCAGAGCCGCCTCTCACTGTCAGATCTGGGAGTTTGGGACTGAGGGGCCAGCGGGCAAGGGTGAGGGAAGGACAGCTTACCTGGTAGCCTGGACCCTGATCACCGGCTCTGCAAAGCAGAGCTAAAGAAAACCTCATTCCCAAGCCAGGCAGGGTGGAACACACCCATCAGCCCAGCATTTGGGAGGCTGAGGCAGGAGGATCCCACAGTAGAGATTAGCCAGGGCAATGAAGCAAGACCCTGTCTCAAAATAAAATTAAAAAGAAAAAGGACTGGGAGTGTGGCTCAGTGGTAGATCACTTGCCTAGCACGTTCGAGGCCCTGGGTTTGATCCCCAGTATACAAAAAGAGAACAAAAGCAAAAAAAAACAGCTCTCAGGTCCCCAAGCTGAAGACCTCTGCTTCGGAAGCACTAACTTTCTGAGCTGTTTTACTAAGCAGGTTTGATCCCTTGGCCTCTTTTATGCATTTACACGAATGAGGTTGGCCTCCATGTCCCCATTTTCCATCTCAGTAAACTGAGGCTCAGAGAGGTTAAAGCAAAGTGTGTCACCAGCCCAGGAGCTGGGGTTCACATCCAGGCCCGAAGGATTGTAGAGCGCATGTCCCTAACCACAGGGGCAGGAAGTGGCCGGTGGATGGGGCGGGGTCCACCCAGGGCGCCCCCGTCACCCCGCTGTCCCTCCGCAGTGCCCTCCCGGAGCCTGCTGTTCTATGACGAGGGCGCCCCCTCGTGGGAGGACGGCCGCGGCGCGCTGCTGCCCGTGGAGCCCCCGGAAGGCTGGGACATCCAGCCCGGGGGGCCGGGGGAGCAGCGGCCCCAGGAGCCCCAGCAGCACGATCACCTGGACGGCACCCACGAGACCACCAAGTACCTGGGCGAGGCCTGGCCCGAGGGCATTGGGGGCAACGGTACGAGCCCCAACTTCTCCCACCCCGAGGACTGGCTGCAGGACAGGTGGGGGCCCTCCCGGCGTCGCTGCTCCCCGAGCCCCCCACCCCCGGGACGGCGACGCGTTCACCCTCGCTCTCTCCCCAGGGACCTGGGCCCCAACGCCACCCTGCAGCTCTCCTAGGCCGCCGAGATCAGAACACAGGACACCCCGGTACCCACAGAGGACTTCTCGCGCTCGGACCCGGACCCCGCCCACCCCCTGACATTCGGACTGTTCCCCTCCACACCCATCCGTCCTCAGCGAAACCACTCACTGCCACTGTCCCCTCCTCGGAGCGACCGCAGGACCACTGCCCCCGCGCCCCACTGTACAGACCAAGAGCAGAAATTGTTTGTAAATAATGAACCTTATTTTTTATTATTGCCGAACCCCTAAGATATTGTATTTTACAAATCTCCCTCCAACCTCCCCCCTCACCTGTTTTATATTTTATGAAGTTAGTGCGGGCTTTGCAGCTGCTCCCCGGCCGGGGACAGAGGGACACCACCCACCCCCTCGCCTGGCCTCCCTCTGCCGCTGCCCAAGACGCTGGGCCTTTTAATTGCCAGACCCCCTTCCCCCACCTGCTCAGCTCTCGCTTTAAGAAGGCAAAATTAAAAAAAAAAAAAAAGATGCAGCATCAATTGCCGGCTCTGTGTCTTTCTTAGAGGGGATGAGAAGGGTCTATTTATTTTATTTTGTCTTTTTGTTTTGTTTTTGTATAGTTTGGTTTGGACTTGAGGTGACCCTTCTGCCTCACCCTCCTGAGTGCTGGGACTATGGGCATGTACTGTCACGTCCAGCAATTTCTTAGTTCTTGCATCCTTTGCTTCACCCGGATTAAAGGCACAAACTTCAGAGTAAAAACAACTAGGTCCAGGAATGGTGGCCTCCCAGTACTCAGGAGGCTCAGGCAAGAGGGTTGCTTAAACCAGGGAGTTCCAGGGTAGTTTAGACAACATAGTAAAACACTATCTCAAAAAAAAAGAAAGAAAGAAGAAAAGATCAGCAAGGGTGGTGGTGCACGCCTGTAATCCCAGGAGGCTGAGGCAGGAGGATCACAAGTTTTAGCCCAGCCGGGGCAGTTTAGTGACTGAGTAAGGTCCTGCCTCAAAATACAAAATGAAGGGCTAGGGATATAGCTCAATGTGGAGGCCCTGGGTTCAATTCCCAGTACTGCAAGAAAGAAGGGAAAAAGAAAAAGAAATTGCATTTGGGTTCTGGAGTTGCCACTTGCTAGCTGTATATGAGAAAATTCTCATTCCAAGATCCCCTGGCCCCTGGTGTGCATGCCATTTAATCCCCTCCCTCAAGTACACAGGGACTTGTGCATAGATTACCTTTTATGATGAAAGAAAAGAGATTTTGCCGTTGGAATTAGGGTTCCCAATCAGCTGATTTTGATTTCATCAAAAAGGAAAGAGATCCCTGGTGGGCCTGGCTTCATCAGCTGAAAGCCGTGGCAGAGGGACCAGACTCTCCCTAAGTGGAGCCCCTGCCCTGCTGCCAGTGAGGCAAACAGCCAGGTTGTGGAGCCAGGGGCTTGAGGAGCTGAATCTCAGAGGAGCCGCAGCCCCAGCCACCAGCCTCCCTCGTCCTGGCCCTGCTCACAGCTCCACCTCACCCCTCCACGACGGGACCGCCCTGCCTGCTGCTGGGTGACATTTTGGGAGTCTTATTCATCATTTATTTGTGCACATTTGCCATGCGGAATGATCACGTAGGGAATTTGTACCTGCACCTGATGTCTTCATTCTTTTTTCCCCATTCCCCTCCCCTCCCTTCAACCCTTCTCCTCTCCCCATTTACAAAGGCTTTGTTTCCATTTTTTGCCTTCCATTCTCTTTTTAAAATCTCTTTTCCCTTCCTTTCCTTCTCCCTCACCCTCCTTGTTCCCCTTCCCATTTGAACATGTTCTTCCTACTTCCTGATATCCTGCATTCTGCTCCTTATTTACCCTTTGGGTTTCTCACACCAGAGCAACAATGCGATATGCAAACTCTGTGTGTCCGATTTATTTCACTTAATATTATGGTCTCCAGGTGCCTCCATTTTCCTACAGAGGACTCAAGTTTGTTCTTCTTCGTGGCAGAGTAGTTCTCCATTGTATATAAGTACCGTATTTATCCACTCATTGGTTGAAGGGCATTTGGGCTGTTTCCAAGATCTAGCTATTACAAACTGTGCCGCTATAAACCTGGGTGTGGATATACCACTGTGGTATGATGCTTTTAATTCTTTCAGGAAGATATATAGAAGGGGAATCGCTGGGTCAAATGGGACCTCTAGCCCTAGTTCTTTGAGGTATCTCCATACTGATTTCCACAGTGGTCGCACCAGTCTGCTCTCCCACCAACAATGGAGAAGGGTTCCTTTCTCCCCACACCCCCGCCAGCGTTGGGTATTGGTTGATATCTTGATAGCAGCCATTCTTTGTGGGGTGAAGTGGAATCTCAGGGTTGTTGTTTTCATCTGCATCTCTCGAATGACCAGTGATGTTGAACATTTTTTCATAGATTAATTTGCTGTTTGTACTTCTTCATCTGAAAAGTGCCTATTCATTGAATAGATATTTCCCCATTTTTGGATTGGGTCTTTAAATTTGGGGAGTCTGATTTTTTTCAGTTCTTTATAGATTCTAGACTTTAGTCCTTTGTCTGAGGAACAGCTGGTAAAAATTTTGCTCCACTCTGTGTGATGTCTCTTCACCCTGTTGGCCTTTTGTTGTGCAGATGTGTCCGTTTTAACTGGGAGAAAGCCCAGGCCTTTAGAGCAAGGCTGTTAAAGGCTGGCCTCTGGGTCCCAAGCTGTCATTACTCAGTTATGAACAGCAATGTTCAGGACACCTTTCTGGATTTCTAGAACATCCATTTCCCTCCATTAGTCATTCAACAAACGGCCAGGCTGGTGGTGGAGGCCTTTTGGGGCTGTGGGATGGAGGTGGTATGGGAAGTAAGTGACACAGATGAGTGCTGTGAGATGCAGGCTGGGGATCCAGGGAGGCACCCTGGAAGGGGCATGAGTGTTTGGAGTGGAGAAAGAGCACAGCAGAGGCAGAGCCATGACAAGCTAGCTGGGGCTGAGGCGAGGGCCGCCGAGGGCTCAAAACCCAGGAGGCGCTTGTGCACCCTGAGGATGGGCACCAGTGGGCCCTGGCTGGTCCTCTCCCTGCTGCAGAGGGTGGCACTCTCAGAAAGCTAAAGAAACAGGGGCGCAGGTATGGAATCACAGCACCCAGGAGGCTGAGGCAGGAGGGTTGCAAGTTTGAGGGCTGCCTGGGATACTTAGCAAGACCCTGTCTCAAAATATGAAAGTAAAAGCGCTGGGGATTTAGCTCACTGGTTCTGCCTCCTGCCTCAAAAACACAAGGACCCGAGTTAGATCCCTGGTACAAAACAAAACAAAAAACAAACAAAATATATATATATATATATGAAAGTAAAAAGGGCTGGGGATGCAGCTCAGTGCAAAGGCCCTGGGGTCAATCCCCAGTACCAAAAAAGAAAGAGAAAAAAAGGGAAGGAAAGGCGGAAGGGCCTGAACTTAAAGGCTGAGAATCGTTGAAAAGGGGAGAAAAACTGGAAGTGAGTCTCCAAAAAGGGAAGGAGGAGCAGCTTCCCAAGGAGGGGGCGCAGCAGAGGAGGGGAGTCGGTGACCTGGGAAGGAGCAGTGTAGGGGAAGAGCCGGGTGGGCAGAAGTGAGACAGCGTGAGGTAGAAGCGAAAGCAGGACCTGAGGGACAGAGAGGAGGCTGTGGAGGACAGGGCCAGCTCTTTCCAGGAACTCGCCAGGTGGCGACTGGAGGGGACAAGTAGGCAACATGGACAGCGGTTTGGGTCCCGTGTGGTGGCTCATGCCTGCAATCCCAGAACTCTGGGAGGCTGAGGCAGGAGGGTTGCAAATTCAAGCCCAGGTTGGGCAACTTAGTGAGACCCTGTCTCAAAATAAAAAATCAAAAAGGGGCTGGGGATGGAGCTCAGTGTGAAGGCCCTGGGGTCAGTCTCCGGACAGGAAGGATAGGAGACAGGCAGACCTGACCTTTGGTGTGACCCCTTATAATCGGCTCTCCTTTGCAATATTTACAGGGTGTCCCTTACATACATGGCACTGCTAACCCTGGAGTTCAAACCAGACCCAGACCCACATGCTGAAATTGAAGGCCCTGACACCTAGCATTCCCTCTCTCTCTCTCTCTCTCTCTCTCTCTCTCTCTCTCTTTCTCGGTTTTGTGAGACAGGGTCTCCCTAAGCAGTTCAGCCTGGCCTTGAACTCACTATGTAGCCCAGCCTGGCCTCAAACTGAGGGGGATCCTCCTGCCTCAGCCTCCCAAGTGCTTGGATCACAGGCATGTGCCACCACACCTGGCCACCCACTGACATTGAGGCCTGCGAGGAGTCAACCCCAGTGGATCCCTAGCTGCTACCGAAGCCCCATGGCAGCCTGCTCCACCAGGGCACAGGTGATGGCTTCAGGGCACTGGTCATCTGGCTCTGCTGCCATAACAAACCCTTTTTACACCTGGAGGCCTCAGCCTGGAAATAGGGTGGGCATTGTGGGCACCATGCAGCAGGACAGGTCAGGCCAGGGTGGAGTCCCTTCCCACAGGGGCTGGGAGGCCCCAGGAGCCACAGGCAGAGCGGGCACCCCTCTGGGTCCTCTGGGGCCTGCAGGGGCAGCAGGCTGGAACCTCATCTTTCCTGGGCCTCTTCTGCAGCGGCCCCTCACCCTCTAAACAATAGCTGTGTCTCTCTGATCTCACCACAGCCGGGTGGTAGATATTATCACTTCCTCCAGTACAGAGCATGCGATTTGTCACTCAAGTGATTTGGTGCCCACACAGAGTGGTGGCCAGGGTTTAAATTCAGGCCTTCCTCCTCCTTCTCCTCTTCTTTTTTTTTGTTTGTTTGGTACCAGGGATCAAACTCTAGATCTTGCCTTTGCAAGGCAGGAGGCAGAACCACTGAGCTAAATCCCAGGGCCTCTTTCTTCGTTTTGAGACAGGAGCTTGCTGCAAGCCTCCTGCCCCAGCCTCCTGAGTGCTGGGATCACAGGCTGTAACACTACACCCTGCTCCTCAGGTTATTCCTAGGTGGGGGTTGCCAGCAGCCCTTTCCCCATCTCTGCCAGTCCCCCTCCCACGGTGGTGCTCATACTGAGGCTAGGGGAGGTGACACAGACCGAATATCTCTGCCCAGCAGGGGCAGAGGAGCTGGGAAGAAGATATTCAGCAGGAGCCACCTCAGCATTCTTCCTGGAAGAGGTGGCTTTTTTTTCTTTGGTACTGGGGATGGAACTCCGGTTCTTGAGCTTGCGCAGCAGGTGGCGAAACCACTGAGCTAAAATCCCTGGCCCCTAAGAGGCAGCTTTTGAAGTCACCTCAGGGTTCAAAGTCTGTGAGCAGATTTCAGAGGGGAGAGAGCTGAGCAGTGCTGGAGGGAACCGATGTCAGGGATGTAGGGAGACTGAGGCAGGCTTTGAATCCCAACCTAAAGTACTGCCAAGGGGGTCAGGTGTGGTGCTGCACACCTGTAATCCCTGCACTCAGGAGGCTAAGGCAGGAGGATTGCTGAGTTCCAGGTCAGCCTGGGCTACAGAGCAAGATCCTGTTTGAGAAACAACAACAACAACTAATAGTAATAATTAAA